TACATCTGTGTGCGGGTGAGTATACTGCACCCACAATAACAAAGCTTTCATCTCATTTGAGGCTATCTCTACCAGATGGGTAAAAGTCTTGCCCTGTAGGGCTGAAAAAAAATTTTTTTGTCTGTCCTTGGGAGCATCCCTTCCCCATGTTCTTAATTTCAACCATTCTCACCAAAAGCTGAGTCACCACGAGGTCAGTCCGGAGATGGCACTGTTCATCGTCCAGCAGGTCACAGGCGAGAAATCCCAGGCGCGCTTCTGGTTTTCCTCCTCCTGGCTGTCCTCCAGACGAGCTGTCTTGGTGAAGGTCAGGTTCTTATCTTGAGGTTTCCTCTCCCTCTCCTCCCGGAATCTGCCGAGAGCATTTGTGCTCTGTTCCTCTTCCTTTCTTTATTTTTTTGTTTTTCTCTGCTGATGAAGGTTGGAGGTTGTTTGCTGTTTCTTCTTGTTCTTGCTGATGCCCGCCAAGGGACGCCAATTGTCGGAATCTGTGGGTGTTGGTGATTCCGAGATTGTAGAAAGTCTCTGTCTTTCTGCCCCGTTGCCAAAGAAGAAGCCATAGTTCGTCCGTGCTGGTTTCAAGGTTGTTTATTTTTGCTTATCTATAACAAGTTCTGCTGCCCTGCTGCAGGTCTGTCCTGCAGGGCAGTGTGTGGGGCTCTGCCCCTCAGTGGGATGGTACAAACATTATATACAAAAAATTACGTGTACTATATTTACAATAATATGCCAATATCTATCATCTACGTTGAATAGTGTGTCCCTAGCCTAAACCAATAGAAAAATGCCAACATCACCAAGAACATGGAGGTAAGGAAGAAGAAGGAGGAAGAACAGGTTCAGGCCCACTTTCCTCCATCTTAGAACTCCTGACCCCCCTGTACAAAGTAAAACCCCCCTGTACATGTGTTAAAACCCCCCTGTACAATACTAAAAAATTTTACCCTCTAATTTGTGACTACTTTTACTATATCATCTAACCCTCTGTGACTGCTTGTTCCACCTTTAAAGTTGGTAATTCATTCCATGGTTCAAACTCAAGATCACAGCTGTTTTCAGCTGCTTGCCAGGGTCTAAAATGCTTCTGACCAAGGCCTGGAACCTCTAAAAATGTCTGAGGGACATTTTGAGTTCCGACAGGATACAAGGTCTGAATAAGGTGTATGTGACACTTCAGTAAAACACTGTGTCACAAACTGTGTCACCTCAAATCATCTCCATTTTCTTGGGCTCCCACTTCCAGTTAGGGCATTTGTATTTACCCCAGGTGAATTGCAGCAATCTATCACAACCACTTTGAATTGCTATTTCATATTTGTAAAGGGCTTTTGTTGCTGGGTTGTTTTGTTTGGGAAGGGTTTTCTTTGAGGACTGAGGGAGTTTTTTAGTTTTTGTTGGGGATCTTTTTTTTGTTATTTTTTCCCCCCCAACACCATTAATAGTAAAAATAGAGTCTCAGTCAGGAACCTGACTTGCTGGTGACAGTGTATACAGAGACATAATTCTCAGCTTTAGGGTTTTATAGTGTAATTTTCATTCCCTGCCTCTTCCCTAGCACTGCAGTGGCCACAGACACAGGAATAACCTCAGCAAGTTCTACAAAGCTTTCCAAGACCAGTATCCCTGCTACTACTCTCCATCAAGACCAATCTGTGGTCTTGATGTTTTGCTGCAGTTGTGTACAAGTCCTGTCCTCACCAGCAATTGTACCTTCTCTTCCTACTGCTTTAAATTGTTTAAAACCTGTCAGGTGTTGAGTGCTCTGTTCCATATCTGAGTCCAGGAACAGCAGATACTTTGGAAACACAGCTACAGCGTGCCTGAGCTGGAATGCTTTGTGACCTGCTTCTGTCTCTGAATTCCTTGGGCTGGAAATAGGCAGAATTCAACTTTGAAATGTATTTCTTATCCCACTAGAACAAATGCAGTGATTGGATGCCATATACTCAGTAAAGTCATTCTACAGTGATGATGCGGAATTAAACTGACGTGTCTCTACTCACTGCTTCATTTTAGGCATCCTGGTTCCAAGATATCGTGAATTCTAGCACCTATAAAGGAGATTGGTAAGTAATAACAAGATCTGCAGAAAAAACCCCCCATGCTTCCCCTGTGTGGTCAGTTATGTTTGCCATGTTGATCCAGTCTGTAATTCCACAAACTCCATTTCTGACAATTTTTAAATTTTGCCATCTGAAAAAGATGTGGAAAATAAATTTTTTGTCTTCCTACCCTTTCTATTTCACAAATGCTGTCACATGCTATGTATCTTTTGCAACACTAAATTTAAATATTGTTTTCCAAGATAAGCCATTAATATGTTGGTATTTAAAAGCTACATGAATTTGAAGAAAGAAAATGACATGCAACTGCCAAATAAAACAACATTAAAATACACAAAACCTTTCCCAATGCCCTGTATTAACTGGACTGATTGAGGGCAATCTTAATATGCAATGATAGTACTCAAAAACTGCAGCTGTGTTCCCTGCCTTTAACATAGTATCAGAGCACATCTTCTCAAGGAGATGCAACAGAAATTGCTTTACAATCTAACTGAGGGGCTAAAACCACTACAGAAATCTAAGGGAATAGTATGGAGTAAATTTTAGTATTTTTTCATTAAGTTTTAGCCTATATTTCAGTTTTTAAAATATGAAGCTGTGGCAATGCCAAATAAATATTTCTTAACAGTACTTCCTAAAAGATTATATTTGATCTTCAGTTCAAACCTTGCTAGAGCACTCTCCTGCAGAGAGAGATTTATGTTTATATCCATTTGGTTCAGACCTCTGTGTCCCAGAAGAAAAGGGCAATGCATATAGTTCAAACCAAATGGCAGTAAAAAGGTGTAGGATGACCACGTTTCATGCTATGGTCAGATCATGAACGTGCCCTGCACACTTCATGCCTGCACAGAGACAATGACTATATTGTACATGGTTTGTCCACATTCACCCTGTGCACACACTATGCATTTAACACCCCGCTCCTTCCTGACAGCCCACATCTGTCTTGCTAAAAGCAGATGACAGCAGTTGATAGAAGAAACTTCTGCCTATGTTGGCTGAGGCATAGATTTAAGCAGTGACAGCCTCGACAACAGGACAATTCCCAGGGTAATGGTAGTTCTTGACCACTATTTAGGTGGTAGGGATCTCAATAAAAAGTCTTTCAACAGAAAGACAAGTGTGTGCAAGTAATGGAGATTTAAAATAAAATCACTGTGCAAAGAAAGAAAAACAGGAAATCAAGCTACTGCTAACAAGATGAGAACCTTTTGTTGCTAAGCAACAAAATATCTAAGTAATTATTGTGGATGGATTGCCTCTAAGAAAGCTACACTTGCCTCTGTATCGGTCAGTTTGACGATAAGCTGGAGATAACCCTCAAAAAACCTGTCTTTAGCACTGGACAAGTATTGCATCAAACACTTCCTTCATAACTGGCACACCTCATTTACATAACCTTGTTTTTCAGCTGAGGACCATGTTGAGTCATGTTTGTGAGGAGCTGCCAAGTCGCTGAGCTGGTCCCAGAGAGCTGCAGTCACATTTCCAAAAGCCGCTTGCTCCTGCTGATGCCACACAGTTGTGCTGTTTGTGTTTTCTGCACTACTCTGTACAGTGCATTCATTCTGACAGAATGAGAGCAAAGACAGAAGACAACAAAACTCATCTTTCAAAAGCCTGAAGAGACAATAAGTTTTTAATCTGTGCCGCCCTGATCCTTTCTGAAGCTTCTCCATAACTCTTAACTCTTCCATGTTTTCATGAATGGTACTTGCAGTTCTCCCCTGGGACAACCACTGTGGTAAACTGGGTCTTAGCATTCCCTCTTCCATATTTTGCTGCCAGCTGGATATGTTGGTGGAGCAGAAAAATTTAAAAAGACACCGGCACAGATAAATAAGGAATAGATACCATCAATTTCTTGTCCTGGGACGTTGCTGCTGTATGAAGAGTAAGAGTACACAAAATATGATGTGTGAAATTCACAGGGTGACCGAATAGCTGAGGCTGGCAGGACCTCTGGGTGTCTTCTGGTCCAGGCACTGCTCCAGCAGGGCTGGCAAGAGCTGGGAGTGCAGGATCGCTCCCAGGCAGCTTTTCAGGATCTCAGGGACACAGGACAGGACCCAGTGCTGACCCCGTAGTTCTTCCCTTAACCTTTAGGCTGTTTTTTTCATGCAATTGTGTGTGTGTCACACCACCTCTGTGTGTGTCTGTGTGTGTGTGTGTGTGTGTGTGTGTGAGACACCACCTCTGTGTGTGTGTGACACCGCCTGTGTGTGTGTGTCTCTGTGTGTGTGTGACACCGCCTGTGTGTGTGTGTGTGTGTGTGACACCGCCTGTGTGTGTGTGTGACACCGCCTGTGTGTGTGTGTGTGTGTGTGTGTGTGACACCGCCTGTGTGTGTGTGTCACACCGCCTGTGTGTGTGTGACACCGCCTGTGTGTGTGTGTGTGTGTGTGTGTGTGTGTGTGACACCGCCTGTGTGTGTGTGTGACACCGCCTGTGTGTGTGTGTGTGTGTGTGTGTGTGTGACACCGCCTGTGTGTGTGTGTGTGTGTGTGTGTGTGTGTGTGTGTGTGTGTGTGTGTGTGTGTGTGTGTGTGTGTGTGTGTGTGTGTGTGTGTGTCACACCGCCTGTGTGTGTGTGTCACACCGCCTGTGTGTGTGTGTCACACCGCCTGTGTGTGTGTGTCTGTATGTGTGTGTGACACCGCCTGTGTGTGTGTGTGTGTCTGTGTGTCTGTGTGTGCGCGCCACAGCGCCTCCGCGCACCCCCAGCCCCGCCGCTCCCGCCCTTCCCGCCGCCATTCCGTCCCACTCCCTCAGCCTGGCGGAAGTCGCGCTGCGCGACCGCGGCGCCGACGTTGCGCCTCCTGACAGGCTGCGGCTTTTGACAGATAGCGCCGCTGACCAATAGAATCTCGCGGAGCCCGCTGGGGGCGGGCCCTCTCGGCCGCCGTGGCGCGGGGCGGGGCCGGTGCCGCTGTCATGGCCGCCGCCGCCGCAGGCGCCGCGTCCCCGGCGGACAAGGAGAGGTGCGGTGAGAACGGCTTGTTTGGGGTCGGGGCTTGTTTGTGTTGTGTCACTCAGGGCTCACGAAACAGAAAGCGCGAGCGGAGCAAGGGGTGGTGTTGTAAATCCCTGTGGAGCGAGGGATGATGGTGGTTGGAATCCCTGTGGGACGAGGAGTGGCGTTGACACTGGCGTGGTTGGGAAGGCAGTGAGGAGAATAGAGTTCCCAGGCAGAACACAGAGCTAGTCGGCTCATAAAGATAGCAGTAGCAAAGCGTGCAGCACACTGCTAGACAAGAGAAGGAGAAAACAGCAGTAGTTGAGGTGATTTGGGATGTTTTTTAAAGCCAGAAACGTGGACTTTGTCACTCTCTTGTTATTCAGCTAATTGGAATCTGCACCATATGTTTTACTCATTTTATCTGTTTTCCTATGCTCTCATAGATCCTTATTAAAATCAATGCAGGCCTTCTTCCACATGCCCTTGGTCTCAGCTAGTTGGTTTTTTAATTGTCTAATTAGTATAATTGAGATTTTGTCACGCTAATCCTGTGTATGTGCTTGACAGGTGTAAATCTGTTGAAAAATCTTAAGCCATTTTCTAAGAGCCCAGTGTTTCAGTAGCTTTTATAAATGTACCCAAATCCGGGGTGATCTGTACTGTAGTAGAACCTTCTTTAATGTTAATTCTTTTCAGGGAAATGTTATATCATTTCAGGGAAAGACGTGTGTTCCATGTTTCAAGATTGTAAGAAATAGGTCAAAAGGTTTTATTTCAGCCTCGTGGTTTTGATTTGTTTTGTTTTTGTCTCAGGAATGGTAACTCCATCCCTTGTACACGTAGTGCCCCAAAAAATGATGTCATGCCGTGTCCATGGTAACTCAAAGTGGGATTTTGCAGCATCCTACTGAGCAGTCTAGGGAAAATAAATGGTTGTTCTAAGCTGCTGTGGGAACTCCTGTGTGATAGCCATGACATTTATTTTCTGTTTTACTAGGAAAATACTGCATAAGCATTAAGGAGTTGATATAGCTTGCTTAAACTCACTGTTTTCTCTTTTTAGATTCATCTGCATTTATCCAGCTTATTTGAATAACAAGAAGACAATAGCAGAAGGAAGAAGGATACCCATAGACAAAGTAATTTCATGGGTGGCAGGGAAACAGGACATTTTGTTTTGCAGTTCAGCAGTGTGTAGAGTGCTGGAAAATACATCTCTCTGATCTTTCCATTCCCCCATGGTGTGGAAATAACAGTGTATTTGAAGGTGACCTAGTGCCAGCATGTGAATTTAGTAGGAGGGCCCTGAGCTGAAGTGTTTGCTTTCAAGGGAGCAGCACCATGAGCAAGCAGGCGAAGTAATGAGGAGCTGAATACCCTCATGCATAGGTAGCTTGCAGTATTTGACAGCAATGCATAAAAGAGTAGCCAGGTAATGATTGGGTTCTAGTGACTGTATGAGCCTGTATGCTGTGTCCTGTCCATGTGATACACAGGCATGGAAGGTATTGCTGCTTTGGACATGTCCAGAAATAGCTTTTTGTCATCTCACTCATTTGTAATAATTTTAGCAAGTAGTTCTGGGAATATAAAGGGCTTTCCTTACTGCTTAGGGTTTGGGGTTTTTTTTTTAAATAAAATCTTTCTTGAGTATACAAGTCACCTACGGTCTACCTATGGGAGGAATCCGCTCCCTTAGGGATAGAAGTGTTGTGCTTTTTGCCTCCCTCAGTCCTTGCTATAAGGTCCTTGTGTTGCTGATTTACACCTTTTGGCATCTCTGTACACATAATAGCTGTTAATTTAAATTACTTTTTCTAAGCAATTCTTTAACTTGCTCCCCTGTCCTAGTGAATTCTATCTCATCTGTTTCCTGATGTCTTAGCTCTTTTTTAATGTTTTCTAAAGCACAGCATCACTGACAAATGACTTCTACACTAGATTTGTACCTTCTCTTTCCCCATCAGCTTTTGCTAATTACTGAGTATAGGGTGGGATACTGGTCTGGTTTCTTTATTGGCAGGTCATAGTTGAAAATTAATTAATTTTAACACTGTTTCAACAGGCTGTAGAAAACCCCACATCTACAGAAATCCAAGATGTATGTGCAGCAGTAGGATTCAATGTGTTACTAGAGGTAATAAAAAAAAAAAGTCCCCACGTACAAAAACCACACAAATTTGTTATGCATCTCTATTCTCTCATCATATCATTTTTTATAACTTGTGGTTCAGAAGTTTTGGTACTAGCTTTCCTTGCTTTATATGATAACTGACCATAATCATTGTGTAAATGTTGGAAATCTGATGCAAGTCAGGAATATCTCAGATCTCTCAGACAATGTTACTTTTAAAGCTTATAAAAAATCACTTCTGTTTTACCAGCCTTCTTAGAGGACTTTCCTGGATGCTTAAAAGTGTATCTGAATAAGAGCTAGTTTTACAAGCTGCAACTCTGCAAATTAAGCTTTTAAAAATGAAAGTTTTTAATGGAATGTAATGACCTTTGCAATGAGTCTTGTATAGAAATAGGATTCTGATAATTGGAATCTTCATAGTCCTTTGGAATTATGTTTCAGGCAGACAATGTTAGCTTTTTACTGCAGTACATACTTGCTCTTTAAATAGTTTATTGGTTACTTTTTTCTAAGGGAATGAGTCTGGATTTCTAGAGAGGTAACTTCACACTGTCATTTCCTGAAGTAATGATTAATTTAGAACAGTGTTATTTTTTCTGAGAAGAATATAGGCCCTCATACACAAGTACCCAAAAGCTTGGTACAAAATCAGTTTGTTTTTCAGAAGTGTCTGGACACTGCATACCATCTGTACTGAGAAATCTGTGATGTTTCATGAAGAATGAAGGCTATAATTAGCCAAAAAGCAGTGATTGTGACCTATCACTTGCTATCCCTAGGTGTCCAGAAGGGTTTGCAGCGATGGAGAAAAACAAAAACCTGTGACCCTGTGGTCTAGACCACTGGGGGCATAAAATTGTCCCTGTAACAGTTTACTCACAGAATTGCTCAGTGCCAGGAGCTGTTTTCAGCAGTGCCTCTGAAACAGTTTTGTCTTCCAATGCAGGTTGTAATACGTTTCTCCTTTTGTATGACAGAAAAACAAGATGTATCCCAGAGAGTGGAACAGAGATGTGCAGTACAGAGGTAGAGTACGAATCCAGCTCAAACAAGATGATGGCAACCCATGTTTACCTCAGTTTCCAACACGTGAGTAGAGTGCCTGGGTTTAGCTACGTCACCTGTTAATAAACCAGAAAGACTTGGTTTATTTTATGTTAGCAGCCTGCTTTATTAGTTTTATAAACCCTACAGTTTACTATTAAATCTCATTGCTTGTGTAAGTCAATAAAATTAAGTTGTGAGCCTTGAGTAAAGTTTGTAAAATGCTGTTGCCTTTGATTCTGCTGCTTCTGCAGCAGTGTCATTGGAGGGATTTATGGGGAACATTGTGTGATTGCTGCATTGAGCAAAGCATGTATTCAGTTTTGGCTTACTGCTTTGTTGACATTTAAAACAGTTTAGTTCTTAAATGGCTAAATTCCACTGTTTTCTTAGGATACATATATCATCTGCGCATCAGTGTGGATGCTAAATTGATAAAACACAATACTGAGTTAAACTGAATTTTCACTGGCCATTTTCATAAATAAACAATGGGGCAACTGCCCTTAACTAACTAATACAAATTACTCATCTTAAATGTCTATTTCATATTTTGCATTTTTTTCTGAAGATTAATCCCTATGTCAAAGAGAAGCAGTATATATCTTAATGAAAGAGCAAGAAGAGTGCTGGGTGTACAGTAGCATAAGAGTACTGACAGAGGGAGATGATTTAAAATCAGAGTTCTGCTGGAGGGCAGTAATGCTTTTCTAAAAATGCATGTACCTTTTGCCTGATTATTCTGTCCCCAGTGTTCTGGACTAGTAGGAGATGGAGGGAAAGAGTAGCAGGAAGCATGCAGACACTTGGGAGATTGTCAGGTTATGTGGCTTTTTCAGACTACTGTGACATGTATCAGTCCTGCAATTTTTTTCTTTCCCCCAAGAATTTTTCAGAAGCTGCTTGCTGTACCAGGGGACAGAAACAGATCTCCCAGGTTTTACATCCATTCTTAACAAACCAGTCATGCATTGATCTCTCTGTGTATTTTAGGTAAATCAGTCATGCTGTATGCTGCAGAAACCATTCCCAAACTGAAAACAAGAACTCAGAAGATGGGAGGTAGTGATCAAAGCCTTCAGCAAGGAGAGGGAGGCAAGAAAGGTAAAGGGAAGAAAAAGAAATAAATTGATGTCTGGAGTCGGTGTTGCATCACATAGTTGTACTTACAGCAAGTACAGGTGGACACCATGCAGCGACTTTGAAGTGAAGATACAAGCAAGAAATGAAGAGGTGAAGCTGAGTAGAACTGCCTGCTTTTCTTGGAACTGGAATGCATGTAACTGCCTTGCATCTGTGTAACAATAAATCTCTTTTCACACATAACCTGGCTGTCTGACATTAGCACCCACATTAGAAATGGAAGAACATAAGCAAATAGGGTGGGTGGGACAATTATTTTTTTCCAAAAGAAATATGCACCTTTTGAAATCTGGTTGCCTTAGTAAACCATTTATTTATGATAGAGAAGCAATTGTCTTAATTCTATGCTATTCTGTATAAGGAAGAAATTATTCTTCCTTATACAGAAGAGGGTAGTGGAGGTACAGGTTGTACAGACAAGTTGTGGATGCCCCATTGCTGGAAGTGTTCAAGCCCAGGCTGGAGGGGACTTTGAGCCCTAATTGTTATGGTTTCACTCCAGGTGGCAACTAAGCACCATCCAGCCGCTCCCTGAGTCCCCACCCTCAATGGGATGCAGGGAAGGATAATCAGGAAAGAAAAAGATTGTGGGTGTAGGTAAGAACAGTGTAATAATTTAAACTAAATAAAATTCAGTAATGCAAGTGACAGTGATGATAATAAAATAAAATTATCATTAGAATTTTTTAATTAGAGGAAAAAAATTAAATGATGCACAATGCAATTATTCACCACCTGCTGATACCCAGCCCACCCCCAGCAGTGATCAGCCCCTCCTGGCCAATCTCCCCCTGTACATATACTGGACATGTTAATCTGTGATATGGAATATCCCTTTGGCCAGCTTGGGTCACCTGTCCTGGCTTCTTGCCATAGCTCCTCACCGGTAGAGCGTGAGGCGCCAAAAAGTCCTGGGTTTAAGATAAGACTGCTCAGGAACAAGCAGAACACCAGTGTATTAGCAGCATTATTCTCACACTGAATCTAAAATACAGCACTAACAGCGGCTGGGAGGAAAATTCACTGGATTGCAACTGAAGTCAGCACAACAGGCTTCCCTCATTCCATGTAATTTCTGTAATGCCAGGTCCCACTTCCCAAAACTCCATTATCTTCCTGGTTTTTGGTACATATACACACACAGATAACATTCCGTTAAATTACAGACCATCCCTGTAAAAGCCCATTGAGTGCATGACCCTGGGCCCCATCTGTCAGACCCAGTTTTCAGGCAGGAGAGAAGGTTTGTGGTGTTGGATTGTTGCCTGTGGAAAGCAGTTCTGAATCCATCACTGCTGTGCTCATGGTTCCATCAAAGTTCATTCTTCATTGATGTGCGATCAAAAGGGAGTCGGGGTCAGAGCCACAAATCCAGTATCGCACAGACAGTCATCATGGGGTGGCCAGTGGTGATGGGCACGGGGCCATCATGGAAGTGATAATTCGTGGTGTTACACAGTAATTTATTTAATTCATTGGCTTTTCTTTCCCAAAATCAAGTCCCTTTAAGACATACCAGACTTTTCTATCCTTTCACAGGACCCACCATGTGCATCTAGGTCCCTAAGCAAAAACAATCCCAGGGATGGGTTTACCTTTGCCTGACATAGGGAAAACTCAGTCTCTTTTCCCCAGCTTGTCTTTAATGTTCACTGCAGGAACTTAGACCGGATCACATCAGCTGGTGGGCAGTTCCTGGGCGTTGACTGACCAGGTTACCTTTGCTGCATGTGCACCCAAGGGTGTGAAGGTCCCACCACCCACTGCTCTCAGTGTGGTCTTTTACCATCCATTGCATCCTTTGATCTTTCCAGAGACTGGTGCATGACAGGAAATGTGATATTCCCACTCAGTACCCTGCTCTTTGGCCCAAGTGAGGTTGCTTTGGAAACTAATCCCACTGTCTGACTCAATTGTTTCTGGTGTACTCTCCCCCGTAAGACTTGCTTTTCAAGACCCAGGACAAAGGGTGTTTCCAGCCATCCAATGGTTGGTCCCTACACTGTGAGTACATGGCTCTTGCCTTGGTAGATCTGGGGGACTGACACACTCGAGCTGCCTGGCCCTACCATATTGACACTTCAGCCATCATCCTCCATACCAGAGAGGCTTTAATCACACTGCCTGTGTCACATCCATAACCTCTGTGATAGTGTCCATGCTCAAGTCCACCCCTCAAACACAGCATCAGTTTAGCCGGGACAGGACCTCCCCATGTCATCCCATAATTCATTCCAGAGTAATGTTGGATTCTGCAGGAAAGGACTGTCTTTGAGCACACACATCCCTCCTGCTCTCTTCTTACTATTAGGGAGAATTCTTGCCTTTCAATGTGAGCAGCTACACAGATTCTCTAAAACAGAGATGTTTAGGAGAGGAAGTCCTGTGCTCTAAGGCTGTAATTGTCTGTGGTCATATACAAACATCTTCAGGGGGTATTTTTCTGCTGATGTAAGAGTTTACATGAGCTATCTTTACAGTGTCTGGCCTAAATTTTGGGAAGTTAGTTAAATGGTATGCCTGTGAGCTTACAAAATAACATGGGGTATGAGACATGGAAAACAAATGCTATATGAAAGGGTTTTTTTGTAGCAGGAAACAACTGGACATGGTTAGAGGTTATTAAGGCACATCCACTATATTATAGTTAGCTAAGTGCTACAATTAGTTGCAACATGGTGAAAAATACCAGAATGGAAGATAGACTTGTAATATAAAAGACTAAAATTGCCCACAGATTGTTAGACTCAAATTATTCCTGGATTCTTCTGAGTGATAAGAAACTTTATTTAAAGTGAGAGCTCTGAAAAGTTACAATCACATTATGCTTAACTTTTGTAAATCAGAGCTTCAGACTACAGACAGCTGAAAAATGTGGACGTCGAGTCTTGTGGGATAAAATTTACTGTGATCTAAAATTAAATACCTTCAGAAGTGGTCTGAACCTATCTGTGTGTGTGAGACCTATCTTAGTGGCATTGCTTTTCAAACTTTCCGGATCTAAGAACCTAAAATACTAAAGCAATTTTAAAGTCTAGCGATCTTGCAAGGAAAGACAAGAAAGACTTCTGAAAAGGGTAATATTGAGCTCAAATACATAAAATGTGAATTAATCAAACTAACAAAGAAAGCTCTGTGGGCATTTTGAGTAAAGCTGACTTTATGTTTTTTAAAGCCCTGCTAGGAAATCAGATTACTACTACCATTAGGAAGTTGAAGACTGAGTTCCCTAACTCCTATCTGCTTATCCTCCTATCTTTAAATGGGGCTGCTTTGCTTTTTATGATTTCCGGCTTTATACTAAGTACATTATATGAGCAATATTTGTTCCTAAACAAGGCAGCACAAAGTTAAACACGCCTTCTCTTTTCCTGACAGAGTTAGTTTATAAACTAAATTTTCATTTCTGTATTTTAATAAACTGGGTTCCTTGGAGGATTGAAAATAAGCAGGTTAAGATCACCTCAGTTCTTCCTCAGTTAACAGATTACACCTCATTTCTGGGAACAGGCAAAATTTTATTGACTATTATGGGATTGGGAGTGGAAACAAGTCGACGGTAAAAATACAGAAATATTGCAATGTTTAGTCTGAATGCTGTGAATAAAATTTTTTATTTTATTTTCAAGAGGAAACTGGGTGATAATGAATGGCCTTTTATTCCACCTGCCTTTTAGAGTTGTCTGTGAGGTTTTACTTACACAGTACCATTGCTAAAAAGACACTCTGCCCGAGATTTCCTGTAGATGGCAACAGTAACAAAGGAAGGCATGCATCCCTGAGTGGGAATTTAGTCAGCATCCAGGACAGGAGGAATATGGATAATGAACTAGTGTCCCAGTCCAGCTCTCTAAAAGTACATGTCTGTTATTGCCCTATACAATTTTCTAGGTACCCGAGCAAAAATTTGAAAAAAATTTTAAATACGAGATCAAAATCCTTATAAGAATCTTTACAACAATTTCTGTGTCAGGAATGGATGGTAATGTTGGCATTGAGCATTGGGGAGGGGTAATGGTACAGGCAATCAATAACAGAATAAATAAAAATGAGAATTCTGCACTCTTGTGAGATAGGTGGTTTATTCTTTCAGATGTATATAGCATTGTGGCCGTTATAGCAGAAGCACAACCATAATTACTCAATTCTTAATTAAGTAATTAAAGAGAGGGAGCTTAAAAAGGTTATTTTGAAATGTGTTTTAACTTGGGAAGCGACAATAATGTGTAACCATATGTAGTTGTCAGCCTTCAGCCATGAAGCAAGTCAACAGCACTGTGAAAAACAGCTGGTCTTAAAAAAACTTGCCTGTGTGTACATCCTGTTCCTTGTGTGTGTTTCAGAAACTTGTCACCAGAACTCCCTTTTGGGGCACATATTATGGGATATTTATATGTGCTCTACTTTGGAGCATGAGAGATGGTGGCTCTCTTGATTCCTTCTCCGGAGCTACACATGCAGTGAAATGGAATGGGATGGAATGGAACGGGAATATAGTATTTCAGGAAGGGAAGTGATGTAAAATAATCATCCAAACCAACTAGCCTGACCACTTCATGGCTGACCAATAGTTAAAGCGCACTATTAAGGGTATTGTCCCAATGCCTCAACACTGCCAGGCTTGTGGCATTGACCACTTTCTCCAGGAAGCCTGTTCCAAGGTCTGAGCACCCTCCTGATAAAGAAATGCTTCCCAGTGTCATCTCTGAACTTCCCCTGGCACAGCTTAGAATGATTCCCACATGTTGTGTCACTGGACATCAGTAATTTAGCTTCTTCCTGTTACAAACTGGCCCTTGTGGGGTTATTTACTCTCTTAGGATAAGGGATAACCCTTTTCAAAGATGTTTTTTCCCCCTAAATAAAAAGATGACAATAATTATTATTATATAATTTTTTTTTTTTTAAAGTACTCCTTGCCATAGTGGCTGTGTAAGGGAGATGGAAAGGAATAGGTAAGTCTTTGGTAGTTTGGGATTTGGGAAGAGCAGAGGACACTCCAGGTAGGAACTGAGCAGCCTGAACTGCAGTGCTATTTCCTATGAAACAGCATGTGTGCCTCTTTTTATCTGCCAAGGTTTGAGCGTTCTTTGGCATGTAGTTTTTTGTGTTTTGTCTATTTGCTTCTCAAGTAGCAGAACTTAGCCATGTTTAAGAAGTCTTCAAGTATTCTTCTCCTGCAAAGATCCAGTAATAGAAAATATAAACTTTTTTGAAATTTCGTAGCCTCAGCAAAGGTGTAAATTGCATTGCATTGCAAAGTATGCTAAATTCAAAGTTCATTTTCAATTATTTTTACTTGACTAGTTCATTAGTTCATGTGGTCATCTGAAGATTTTTTGCTACAGAATCTCTTAATTCTTTACCAGTAGGAAACACAATTTTCATAAAGCTGTAACAATGTGGTTGCACAACCGAGGACTTCCTTAGTAGCCATAGGTTGTCATTCCTCAAGAACAGTTTCCCCATCACACTGCATGTAGAAGTTCTCTAGAAGACAAGATGTCCATCATATTTGTCAGGTGCTCTTTACAGAAAATGAGAATCTCTCATGACCTACAAGGAATTCTGGTTTTTTTTTTTACAAAACGCTGTTTTTCCTCCTTTGCATAAGGAAGCTATTGTTTGTGGAATATGAAATGGGGGTGAAAGATGACTAAAGAATTAGTAATAAAAATTCTAATTGATTCTCAGATTATTTAGAAAGAGTTGGCAAGACTGGAATGCAAACTCAAGAAACTTCATTTTATTTGTCAAATTAAATGCAGTGAGGGCTTGACCTGACAAAATACTAGTCACACCTTCCACTACTTACAAGATAGTCCTCTGTTAATTGGCTTGCTCTGGTTTGGAGAGTTTTCATTATTTTATCACTAGAGGCGATGTTATCATTGGTGGGGGAGGTTATGTTTCCTGAGCTTATTTTCCTTTTTCACTGAGTTTGGAAAGGAGTCAGATAAAGCAGACAAAATGTCCTATAAAGAGTGGCAACGTAAGTTTTAGGTACGTGTAACGCCACTGCCAAAAAGTATTCAGCATTGTTTGCTGAGGCAATTTATGGAACACCAGGAAACCCAAGGGAGAGGAAAAACTTCAAAATCCCTGTAGTTTACAGTCTTTCCTTGCTATGTTTCTAGAGAATCCTACACCTTAATGACTCCCAGGTAAGCCAGGCTATGAAGCCCAGAAAGATGCTTGTGGTGCTCACAGTTGGGAAGAGTTCTGCATTCCAAACTCTTCTGTAAGGGCCTGATGCTCTAAACCTGCTTGGCTGCACCCTCAGATTGGCATGGGGCAGAGACACTTCTTTTGGAGTTTAAGAGGTTTCTAGTGGTTCCACAGTAATGAACTTCAGGGAAGGGGAATAAAAAGTGAATACTGTGTAAAGACCTTCTGCCTTCCTAAAGTAGCCAGGTTTTCACTGTAAAGGTATAAGGTTCTTAAGAAATACTGAGACATCATACCAGTCCCACAGGAATCTCTTTATTTGTGTCCATTTTTATTCAGCACATTACAGCTTCAGCAAAGACATGGAGCAGATGTGTTACCAACATTTGTACATAAATGTTGTGAAGACACAAAGAAAAGCACTGATCTGTGGGGCCAGCCCAGTGGAGCTACTTCCAGGAAAGGATAACTTGCTGCAGAAATTCAGACATTTCTACTTGCATCAAGGCAAAAAACCAAGGACAATTTTTGTTAACAACAGACTGTAGTTCTAATTCGAGTAGAAATCTGACAGAAGAGCACTGATTCTATGTGCTGATAATATCAAATTGGTAAAGACAAGAAATTGATTTAAAGCCTTTCAGGTTCTGAGAGAGATGCAAAGGACTGTTTCAACATTTACCTAACATTTATCTAGAATGTTTTATCCCCATTAATAACAGTGGAAGAACTGTTTAGTAGTATAAAAAAGTAAAAGTAAATCCTGTCTCTACTACAGACATCATTATGCTTGAAAAATCTAAAATTTACTGTAAGCTTTTAGATAAGTAAATTATGTAGTGCTTTGCACTGAAATCAAATAATCTATTAAGAATCTTCATTTATTTTCATCTAGTTACTTCTAATCTCAAGAAGTGAAACTAAATTACAGTGGCCACATGAGTGCTTTACGTAGAGCTGACAGAGTTTAAAAGGCTTACCAGAAAGTCCAGTGGGCTCACGACAGAAGTCAAGACAAGAAATCAAACCAGTTAAATGGTGATACACTTCAAACTTCTCACATGCTTAAAACCTAGAACTTTGCTGTAAACTTTATCCTCTTCAGCACATCCCCTTGTAAAAAAAAAATAAGTTGTCAAGGAACAATTAGCTAAGAAATCTTACATTTTTTCTTCAAAAGATAAACTGCATGCTGTCCTACAGAACACAAGGTACAGCAGGTCTTGTATTTCCCTACTGAAGATGCCAGCCCCAAGGGCTATGTTTTCCAGCTCAAAGCTTAAAATTCTTTCTCTTACAACACTTTTACACCCCCTCTTATAAAACATCTCTCTCCAGGTTAAAACTGACCTGCTGAGTTGCAGTGTGTGCTTCACACTTTTGTAGTTCCTGCATCTGAAAATTTACAATGAATGTTTATACAACAATTTGGTGCAGAACGTCAGAAGTCCTCAAAACTTTATTTTAAGATTAAATCTTTAGAACTCAAGATGGTGTACTGGAACTAATTTTTATCCTATCAAAAGCTTAAGTGCCCTTTCTACATGTTCTGTGAGCCCTGAGAATTGCCGTACCATTACTCTAGGCTTTAAAGAAATGTCACATGGACATGAAAACACAGAAATTTCAGTAATTCATGCCTAATTAATTAATGTAATCGTTTTTGTTGAAAATACCACAGTGTGAAAGAGTACAGATACAAATCTAAGAAAAAAAAAAATTTTTTTACATTGATTGTAAAAAACCCCTTTATTCTCTTAGCAACTTTGGCTGCTGATTGGCCAGGAATATATCAAGTAATAAGAAGAGCATCTCCACTCAGGAAGTTTAAGTGCTTATAGAAAGTTGTTCTTAGTATAGTCGGAAGAGATTGTAGACCTTTATGAGCAGAAAAAGCTTGTGGGAGTTGTGGTCTGTCCCCTTAACGAAATAATTCTGAGGACTGACATTCAAGGCAGGTGATACTTTAAAAGGAATTCAGGAAAAAATGTCTAAAATGTTTGTAATGGTACCACTCCTTAGCTAAAGGTGGCTTGTGGTTTTTGAATGTGATCTTAAAAAGCACACTTTGAACAATTTTGGATAACAACTTGTTTTAGCAAGAACAGGCAAGAAGTTGTACTTCAGTCACGCTGTGTTAATCTTGTGGGATTTAATGCATCCATTTCTAGCAAATCACTTCAGGCCAATATAAGCTTGATCACTCCAAGGAAGTTATTCTTTCCTATATTTAGTATCCATCCATTTAAGAATACACACATTGTACCAAATACTGTGTTACAACAAAACATGCAACAGTGAATAATCTCTATAATCAGGTGGCTAGAACACGTTATTTCACAATTTACAGCTTTAGTGGTGGGGAATACATCCATTATGCCATCTCTAACAATAATTCCCTGTATATTCAAGAAGATCCATTCAGAATTTTCCCTATGAAATAGCTTTGTGCTACCAGATGCACCACAATCAAAGTAAGAGTAATTTCATACACAAAGAGACAAGTAAAGTGCAGAGCCTGAGTGATAAATACTTTTTATTTATGTTACTGCAGAAAGAGATTACTGAAAGACTTCTTCTGCATGAAGATGAATAAAGTATTTTCATTAAGCTTCAGATGCTGCCCACTGCATTGCTTTTAAATAAAAATGCATACTCTCTACCAGTCACAGCAAAGTAGTAAGTAAACTTACAGAACATTCCTTTAATATGTCAAAATGTTTCCAAGGCAATATTATTGAACTTATACCACAGTCCCCAGTAACATCAAGCTGCACAAAGGAGGTGGTAGGGAAACTTATCCAGTTTAAGTGCTCTTCTTTTCTTCACCCAGCAAGTTCACTGTTGCTTTCTTGGCTGCAGGAAAATAAAATCAAGTTTAGTCATAGGCCTACAGACAAAGTGGGTTATCAAATGTTCTCGAACTGAATGGAAAAGTATTTCCTTTTACTCACAAGAGAAAGAACACAGAAGAAAATCATAGCTTTTGTATACACCTAGATATAGTGATAAAACTTATAATAAAAACCATTTAAAAAATAAAACATAAGTAAGGAGCAGTACAGTAACTATGGAATTGTTAAAACAGGGCTGCTCATAGTGCTAAGGACATACAGGTTTGCAGCAAGAAATATACCATAACGATAAAACAGGCTTGGAATAATACTAATATTTGTGTATGCAGGGTCACTTTAAAAAGGCTGTTGTTTTATTTTGGTGGGTTTGTTTTGTTTGGTTTGTTTTGTTGTTACTGTTAGGTTTGTTGGGTTTTTTTGGTAGAAATCTTTATGAATAGAAATAGGAAAAAGAAAGAATAAGTGATGAAATAAGGGCAGGAAAATCCCACATGCAGCATCAAAGGACATTAATTAAGGTACATACATGCCTAACAATAAGGACTTGGGAAGAATCATGCAGCAAAATTTCCCAAGAATAGTTAAGCAAGGCAGATCTTTTAAGCAGACAGGAAAGTTGGTAAGATGAAATTTTTTGCACTTATTGTTTGGTGGAAAGGAGCATTAAGATGCTTTGAAACAGCATACAGATAAAATCCTTTCAAGTGAAACTTAAAAACCTTTATTTTAGCTACTTAATACATCTCCTTCTCTTATTCATAAAACTATAATCAGATATTTTAGAATGCAAGGGCTCACTACAGAATGCAAGGAAATAAAAAACTTAAGCAATCTACAGGCTGTTATAACATGTAAAAATAAAATGTAAGTTAATTCCTTTAAAGCGAGGAATCCTTTGACCTCCAGAGGAAGGAAAAATGCAAAAACATATACATGGGAAAACTGCACTTTCCACAGTGCTGTGTATTGTTGTTAATTGTTTATTGCACAACTGGGAGCCCCTCTATACTACCAGGTATTTGAGGGATTATTTTAGGAGATACGAGGATCCACTAAAACAGTAACTGCATTTATGAAAGTTATGTCTGGATCTGCCTCTAGAGAGAATGTTTTTAGTGGTGTGTATAGTGGGAAGACATAAAAACAATTCAATTTCTTCCACTCATTCTAGCCTAACTGCAATTCTAGAAAGCAAGATCCACTGCAGCCCCTATTTCCCACACTTAACTTCTCCATCATAACTTACATTGTCTCTTGCAATTTATTTTTGTTTCCTCCAAATGATGCATATTAAGTGCAGCAGTAAGAGCTCCCCAGTGCACTTGCCTCTACTTGCTGTGACCAGTGCAAGGCCTTTTGCTCACCCTCTTTAGTGATGGTGTCTGCAGTCTCTGCAGCCTTGTCTTTCAGGTCCTGCACGACACTGTCCAGCTGCGCCTCGTGCTTCAGGAAGAAGGGACGGATAATCCTGTGGTAGAGAAACTCTGCCCCATTGGAAGGGCTCGGAGCCATGCACCACAGCAGGAAGCCACACTGTGAGAACGAGAACATCGGCCTGAGTGGAAGGAATCACGAGTAGGAGACAAGGTGCCTTTCCCAAGCGCCAGAGAAGCGAGCACAGTGAGAACAGCGAGACATTCCCTGCGCGCTCAGGGCTCCAGGAGGGCGCACACCAGGACAGCCGCACACAGGCCATTTCACACTGGAATTATTTCATGGATAGTGTAAGGACAAAGGAGGAGGGCTGCAGCAGTAAATCCAATCTGGTGTCAGGTGTATCAAGACTACATGCACTTTTTTTTCCTCTTTAAGGTGGAACTATAAAACCTGGCTACAAAAACATCAGTCTCTCTCAATATTTCTAAAACACATGGCACAGGCCTCACTGAATGTCTAGGTCCCTAAATTACTTCAATTCAGCCAAAACGCATCTCCCTCCTCTCTGCCTGCATGCCTGGAAAACACAGTGAGGGAAAGAACAGGATTGTGTGTACCCCAGAGCTAAATTGACAAGGAGGAAAGACAAACCCAAGCTACGCACAGTGCACAAACAAGAGCAATGGTTCTGCATTACAGTTTAGGTATAGCTTTTAGAGCACCATCTGCTCTCCAGAAAAATCAAAGACTACAGTGTGGGGTCATATTTCTGCATCTTACAAAAGGGGATTGGAAACACAGTTATTACATGTACTACAAATCCCTGTTTTATTACTTGAAGCACTTTTATTTGGCTCCAGTTTCACTGCCATACATCACACAAAGACAGTCACGCAGAGCAAGATGAAACATTTAAGGGACAGGGAGTGCCATAAACTAAATCTGCCTGAGTGATGAAAATACACATAAATTATTTTACAGGATAAAACAGAAACAAAATGCAGTACATTTTCTCAGCGTTTGTATAGTTCTTTTTATACCCAAATAGCACAGTATTATTCCATGTCAAAAGCCTCTCCAGAAAATGAAGGTATAACAGCTATTCTCAGACTACCTTTTCCTGAAATACAAAACAAAACAACCTCAGCCTCAACACATGCCTTGTTTTCACGTTAGAGAGGATTCCATATTTGAGGATTTCCACACATTTCTGGGCAGAATGGAAACAAAACACAGAGTCTTCTTCAAGCAAGGCCTCCAAATATTTTAGAACATGTCTCCTCTACTCCTTCCCAACAAGGTATACTGAGACTGAATGTTCTGTATGTTCTGCTCTTCCTGTCTGTAAAATTTTGGCTTTGTCTCCTCTGCAGTGCCAGACCAATTTACCATCCTTTTGGGTAAGGATTAAGCTTTCCTCTTTAAACTATTTGATCATGTTGTCAAAACAGACTGAAAGGAATGTTTGCCCAGAAGAAAAAGAAAGGTTTTTTAAAGTAAAGTGTTCACAAGAGAGATTGGCCCATCAGGAAAATTCCAATGAATTAAAACAAATAATTTAACATGCAATAAAATCTGACACCAGTAAATAGCTACTGATGAATTATTAAATATGGTCAAAGAAAATAAAGGCAAAAGATTCCTTTATCAATATAAACACTGATTTTCAAAAGCTCCAATTCTTTGGAACTCGATATAAAAGAAAGACTACATGGTACTATCTTATGTTGTTATCTTTCATTAAAAGCTGAGAAGTACACTGACTTTACTTCCTGTTCAAGAATATCTGATCAATTACTGAAAGTTACTTCTCCTGTTGCCCTGATTTTTAAAAGTGCTAAGTTTTCTTTTACAGTTCTTTTGAAAGTTCTGAAGTTCTCATAAAACTTCTTCAGCCTTCTGATAATGTTTACATATTTTTACTGTAGTTCTCACACACTGTTCATTTAAATAATGATTGTTTTACATTATTCTTTGTGAGAGGAGAGGATTGATAGGCTTAGATTGACCAGTGTGGTTGAAGAAGTGGCAATTCCATCCTCCAATCCACTGTCACTTTTAGAATTCTATATACTGTAAGATTAGAAATAAAATTAAATCTTTTTTCTCCCTTGGACTCACCAAGCTTCTGTGTACTCATTTTGTGTCCAATAGCAACACTTCTCCCACAAAACTGCACAAATATCTCAACTTCTACATAAAAAAGTTAGTTATCCTTTGTTTTACAAAAATCCCTCAAATCCAAGTCCAACTTCCTCTAAAACCAAAAGAAATTTAAATTTCACTTTCTGGGCCTCTAAGAACAAAATTAGTAATTTTGTTTTGACAGCTTTGTCCCACGCTAGTTGAGAAAAAAGTAATTACAGATTTGTTCTCAAATACTTGTTACTTTTGAATTGTACTGAAATAGATGTTTATATGCATTTTCTATTGGACACGTAGCAAAGCTGAGATTCTCACTCTTTTCAAAGCTTGAAAAGTCAGACTGCTAACTTAGTTTATTTTACCCCTATTCTTGTGAAAATGAAGTAACACAGGGTAGTTCACTAACTTTATTGAAAATAAAGAAGGTTGTAAGAAGTTCCAGCAAGCTCAGAGTGGTAAAACTGTTAACTGGAAAAATAAAAACCCAAGCCCAAAATATATTCTTGCAGTCCTGGAGACCAGACAGAGTAGGGAATGGAATTCACCTGAGCTCAGTCTGGCTCACTTGGACCTGCTTGTAGCAGCTGTTTTTGCCTTGGCAGCACCAATTTTGTTCAGATATAGCATGACAGTATTCCAAGGTAGAACCATTAGTGGAGTCACTCCCACCACCAAAAATACTCATACAATGATAAACTCTGCTGCTTTTACTAGATACTGTACTCTAATACCTGAATGCCACAGAAATCTTTAAAGCTTGAACGGAAGTATTTAAAACCAAATCATATGCACAAGAAATTATGAGTTGCATGCATGTCCTGTGCTTCAGATATAAAAAATGCAAGCAGATAAATAAGAAGCGAGCATTACCAAAAAAACAACAACAAACAAAACCAAAACAAAACAGCCTATAAAATCCAAGACAAAGCCCATAAAATCAAAAAAATGTCACATAGAGTATAAAAGAGCAACATTCCTTGCTCCCACCCATAAAATTTTCTAGTCTGCTGAAAACTTTAATGTCACCGAGTTTAAACTCTGGACTTGGGGACTCTGGAAGCAGTGGTGCTCAATGTTTCAGCCACATACATGAACGTGTTTTGAAATACTGAGCAACTAAATCTCAATCTGGAGTGGAAGCTACAAGGGATATCAAATAGATGTGACTACACAAATTCAGCACATCTTGAGAATAAAAGCAACCTCAAAATTTTCATGAATGATGTATCTGGGCTTCTACTTCATGAAAGACATATGGAGACATCATAACTACCCTCCAAGAGGTTTTAGTTCATGGATGGAATGAAGTGTGGAAGCTGCCTGATTCCTCCTTCTCCTCCTGTGGAGTAACCTCCACCCATTTCCACCCATTTAGCAACACTTTCTGATTCTCGACAATACCTGCCTACCTTTGTACAAACCTGTCCTACCAGCCACTACTGAGAGCAAACACTTGGCTTCTATGTGCCTTCTGCAGCTATTGAAGAAAGCTGTGTACTGATGTAATTCCTTGTGCTTGCTTTTGCAGAACTGAGAAAAGCGCCTCTCCCTTGATTACAATACTGCATATAACTCTGGCATTCCTGAAACCATTTTATCAGAGCCATTTGAAGTCTTTATTTGGAAATTCAACCCCAATTTCTGTTGTGTGCTCTTCAGAAAGAGAGCTGTGGTGGCATGAAGAAACCATTGCCACATCTTTTTCCACTAATAATTTAGAAAAGAAGCTCGGAAAATACACTGTATGAATTCAGAATTGTGAGCATATACCACTGCAGCTGATGGATTAAAGTATTAAAGTAAAAGGTGTCCAAAATGACTGCCACAGCTGAGGCTTGTTAAAGACTGAAAGGAACAAGGCAGACATGTAAACCAGCTGTCACAGTCAAATTTTGTCTATAAAATATGGCATTTCCTGGAAACAGCTTTTGACATCGTCAGGTCTTATCACTAAAATATTAAATGACCCCCCACAATAACTGGCAAGCAAATTGTTTTAACAACTTTGGTGGGACTAAACCAGGCTAACAAAACAGAAGAGAAGGCAGAGAATAGCCCACTGAACCAGAAAACCAATAACAGTTCTTTGAGATAAAGAGCAACCTCTGCAGCAAGCTAGAAGGTCTTTTACCCAACAGCATACAGAGTGATCAGCTATCAGCTATTCCTAGAAGAATTTAACGTGTTAAGGTTGACTGAAACCTTAGATCACACGTTGACCAAATCATTGTTGCTAGTCAAATCACACTAACAAACACACTTTAGGAACCATCTCCTCTGATACCTACCAGTTCCTTTCAGGAAACTGAGCTTAATTAAAAATTAAAACTGTAGGACAAAATATACCTTGTGTTCCAATTTCCTTCCCTGCTCCAATAGCACAGATGTTATGACCTCTTTGATGATTTTACTCTCCACTTTTACTAATCCCCTTAAAACAAAAATAGAATCACTCTGTGGGGCTTACTATGTCATTTGTCCAAATTTACCTGAAGCACCAAGAGAAAGAACTGTCTCTGGTTTGGTTTTCTTTTTTTTTTGGGGGGGACAGTTACACTGTCTCTTCTTCTTTCCTAAAACCCGGCAGACCTTTCCCTTCCACCTATCCCAACTTCCCCTCCTGCCTCACAAAATGATCAGCTGTAAACAAACCACTTTCACAACAGTAAATTACACAAAACCTGCATGTAAAAAGAAGGTGGACCTGGGAGTGATTCCAAATGAATCTGTTGTCATCTACCCATTCCAGGAGACGTTAAATCAGTTTTATCGAAAGGTCCCATTTTAGGCGAGGGGGTCACATGAATTAACGTACCTTTAGCATGTAGTAGAAAGGGAACCATGACAGAAAGATGTCAGAGAAGAATTCAGCTATGCTGAAAATGCCATACACAACCCAGTAAGTCAGCCACTGTGTATCATCATCTTTGTTGGGACTTTCAATGGCCTTGATTCTGCAACGAAAATAAATCAAGTGAGCAGCACAGTAGCATCAGTCTCATCTGTAATGATGAGGATTTTATGACTCAGATTTGTTATTATATGTGACTCTCCATAATTCAATTACACCAAGAAAACTAATTAACATCTATCACTCAGACAGTGTGTCAAGATCTTTGAACAGTAAAGCTTCTTCCTATATACCAAAATTCAAAACTATACTCAAGCTATATCTACCTCTGGGATTACAAGGAGCATAAAAACCCAAACAAAACCAGTGAGCATTCTGACCTTGTTCACAAAACATTTTGAGGGACAAGAAAGGGATAATCTATGGCCATGGCTCCAGTTCTGGAGGTATTGTAGTAATCTTGACTAGAGGCTACTGCACATTAGAGTATTATTGATCCATATAAAAGAGAACCTGAGTGAGCCCAGTCCTGTGAGGCACAGGATGCCAGTGATCACAACACCTTCCTGGCCTTGCCTACACCCATCAGTGACCATCCTCCTCTGGCAGCCAGAAAGGAATGATGAAACAGAGTTGTAGTCTCAGATGAAAAATCCCACAATACCTTAAATTATCAAAATGTGGTAGCATTGTCTCCAGACAAGGCCCACACAGTGTGGATCAGAAACTCATTCAGTGCTGCATAGCTTGGGGTTCCCAGCACCACCACTGGTATAAAACTGTCTCTATTATTCTGTTTCTTTTACACAGTTAGCTCTAATAAATAACATTTTAAATGTACTTGTACATGCACTAGATTCCTCTTTGAAAAGGGAAACTTATCCATAGGATTTGCTCTAAGTCCTAAGAAGCATATGCTCTACATAAGCAGAGGGAATCCAGTTCCATATGCATCTGCATCACCTAATGTATTGCTCTATAAATTAATTCCTACAAGACTTGCAAAGTCTGATGTAGACTAAAGTATTAGGAACAGGGTAAAAAAAACCTCTACTAAAGTATTGGGCTTTCTGCATAATGATTTAATGGGCTTTTGTTCTCCATCTGCTATGCGAATGTAGTTCAAGTTTATACAGTTTTTAAAAACAGAAACTAAAAGATGCACCATGTGCTCTTTCAGTAAAAGTAGTGGAGTAGAGTTTCTGGAGCCACTAAATTCCAGATTAGAACTGTAAGAAGTTTTAAAAGAAAATACTAGGAAATCTAAGCCTGGTAATTTCAAGCTTAAGAGTCTTAGAGAGCATTTGTCCTCTCTACTTATGCTGGAGGATTAAAATCTGTAGACTCAGTTTAATGTAGTTAGTTTAAATTCTTCTACCACTTTTCCCTTTAGTATCAGCTGTATTGTTTCTGAAGCAGCATGTGAGAGATGTACCAGAAGTGCCAAGTTTTCTGTTAGTTCCCTTAAAAAGGCATAGGGAAGTTTACAAGGCAGAAATCAGGGAGCTGGCCTTAAGTCCATTTCCTGGTCTGTGAGAAATGCTGTGGATTCTGTCACTTCCCAGTTCTGTAGTCAGGGGGGAGCAGGGAGGGTTGGGGGAAATAATTCCTGTGACATATTTTTGCAAAAGCACTGGCAAACCCACTACAAGCAGAGGGAGCTGGCAGAGCTGCTGGAACGAGTTCCTTTGAAATGCAGTAAAAGGATCTGATACTTAATTCATGCATTATTTCTACTGGAGTGCAAGGCTGGCCAGCAGTGTCCTGCAGTGGGAAAAGCAGCAGCCCTTGCCATAACCCATCAATAAGGGGATCTAACCAACACACATCATCACAGGTTTTGCAACAACAAGTCTAATTTCCGCTGCTATCATCACAGGCAGCCCTAGTCCAAGCAGTCTCAAATGCAGTGACAACTCCAGCTCCCACTGTTAAAGCACATATTTTCCACACCCACACCTCTGAAGTATTCTAGTGAGACCAGGTGAAGTGACTGTACAAAAACAGCCCCTGGACACCACAGGAGTTAAGAAAGAAATGTATAGAGCTATTTTCAACGTGTGAAACCGCACTTCTGGAGGGGAAGAAAAAAGTACAAGGACCAGTAGGGATGTTGGAGTGGTGGATAAATGGAGCAGAGAAAGGAACCAATTGCAAAGTTTCTCACTGTTAAGGAAAACTTGCTGTAGAGGCTCACCATGTGAATTCCTTTAGTTCTACGGACAATTTCTCCATTAGAGGCATAGAAGAGAAGGCTTATATTACCACAATAAAGCATCCTAGCTTGGCATTTGTGAGAAAATATCTTGCAGTTAACCTGCCAGCAGTCTTCCTGTTTTCCAGTCACCATATATGGATTTAAGGGAGCATTGTTTCATTTTCCTTTTTAACATTATTAAAATCATCTCAGTAACCACAAAAAATAGCTTTCATTAAAAAAAAAAAAAAAAAGGAAGAAAAAAAAAAAAGCTTAGAATCTCCAATTTTGTGGCAAAAGGCAGATGGCATATCACTGTGTTAATGGGCCACATCCTATTATCTTCTCTCCTCTGGAAACAAATGGCCTTTGAGAGCTCCTAAATGCGTGCCATGGGTGTTCTCCCTTTGAATGTTCACCATCTGCTCCTGTAGTTCCTTAGGGGATACATGAACAGCAGGCTTTTACTGTCAGACACAAGCAGCAGCACTACAAGTAGTCAAAGCCCCATCAGGTTTAGCCAGCTGATGTACACAGCATTAAATCCACACGTGGCTGTTTTCTTACACAGTATAGGGAACAGCACATCTCCCCTTCTTCTGCAGTGGTCTGATATTGGTGGGCAAGGCCAGGGGCAGCACCCTACCACAGCCAGCAGGGAACAGCCACGTCAGCTCAAACTGCTCCTGTGGCCATGGCTCCAGTCCCAGCCCGGGAGAGAGGGAGGGAGGGAAAAGCAAGTTAGAGCAGGGCCGTCAGTGAATGAAAGCTTTACTGAAGTCAAGGAAAGGCAAGTATTTTATAAATATCCTGCTTTGGAATGGGGAGTGTGTCCCTCAGATGAGACAGGGATCGCCAGCATAACATGTCCCTGTTGAATAAAAGGGCAAAAGTTACCACCATCCCTTTACACACTATTTCAATAGTAAGCCACAGAAAATAGTACTTGTCCAAGAACAAGCACAGTAAGTTATTCAGAATATCTGAACAGAGAGGGATTTTTATCCATTTATAACTACACTCTTCAACATGAGAATCACACCATAATTAAACTTAGTCCTCCAAGTTATTCTAGAGATATTATCCTGGTGTAATGCCCTGCACAATTAAGCTTAGGAGAGACATCACAGGCAATCAATCCAAGAACACTCCATTCTTCTCCATGTTAGGTTACCAATCAAGCAGGCTGATATTCAAAATGCAATCTCCATCAATAAGTGAAAAGTAACAGATCAAGAGGCACTGACACTATATTCTACTTTAGGATTGCCTTCTTTTAAATTATTTCTGTGTTGCAAGAGCAAATAAGTCAGTCTCCTTAACACACTATATTAAGATTTTCTAACAAATGAAGGACCATCCAAAGACAATGGCTTCAGATTTTAAAAAAATTATACTGTTTTGTCTAGTGCTGATCTGACTAAATTCCACCTTAGTTATGCACAATAATTACATATCCCAAAGGATTTTTCATACTGCTTCATCACTAAATGCAGAGGACTTTTAAAGAGAGCCTCAAACAACCACTTACAGTAGTTCTGAACCTTGGGGGTAAAAGCAATCACTAGGAACAGCTCCAGTATTCTGGACAGTAAATACCACAGATCAGCAACTTTAGTTAGCTGCATGACCAAGAGTGAAAATGACCTGCTGTGGGCCAGCACTGTGATGGATGGGGAGCCAAGAGAAACTTCATTTTCAGCCGTATCTGTTCCCCAGTAACCCTGCTAGCTGGTGGTTTCAAGAGGGAAGAGTAGAGGTGGTCACATTCTTTAGCAGCCCAGGGCTCCCATCCGTGCTGTACTTACAGTGTCGGAGCACTGGCTCAGCCCTGACCCTGTGATTCCTAAAATCAGTCAAAATTTACCCTAGATCAAGTGTGGTTGCTTACCCTGTTACTGATAGTAACAGACACTGGTCTAATTTTAGTAAGTTGCCAAGTGGATTTCTTTCACTTAGAGCCTCTGACTCATTGCAACAAAAAATCAGCTCTTTCCCAAGAAGAGACAGCTGCTCCTCAATTAGCTCTGGCATAACAAACTATTTGTTACAGTAAATTCACACATACAGTACTCACAGTTTGAGTACTATATGTGTTCGGAGTGGGGGTTTTACTAAGCTGAGTCCAGATGTGGGAGGCAGAAATAGAGAAATGCTAAATTTTATTGCTGTGGTCTCATGTGAAGCGATCACCCTTATCCGTGCAATTTACAAGGTGAACCTGAGGATTCTTGTATAAAATAAAGTTACAGGTCCAAGGCAAAAGATCAGCCTCCCTTAAACCCCATGCTCATGTTGTAGCTGGGAAAGACTTAACCATTTTGTGCATACTTCCTTCAGTTTTCTGGTAAATGCTATATGAAGTGAGTAGGTAGGCATATTTGTCATACCCTTAGCCAAGTGTAAGTTTGGGTTTGGTTTTTCTTCACTTAACTTAAAAACCCATGAAATCACCTACACTTCTAGAGCTTATCCTACTGGTCTGCCCCAACTCTTTACAGCAGGTTGTAAAGTAATTTACTTCTAGCTATCTATCCAGACACCCACGCAGAATCAACACTCCACTGCACACAAACTTCCTTAGCTTGGTGCCTCCCCGTCGTCCTCATGTCAGACTCATCCTGGCAGGCTGCCTCCCTGACATCTCACAGCATTCCAGTGAAACCTGTGCCTTTGGATTCGCTTTATCATTTTGGCTTCTGCATTTCTATCCATCACCTAAAGCCTTCTGCTTTCCATCTTTCTTCCTCCTCATTGATTGCAACAGGAGTCATGCATTTGCAGATATAGAAAAGATCTTCCTGCCAACTGCACTTACACAATTTCTGTGATTTAAGTCTCCCAGTTACCCTCTCTCACAATTTTGAGGATCTAGCAGAAGGGATCAGAAAAACTCATCAAGGATAGCAAGGAGGGTTTCACTGACCATGCACAGACAGATATTATTAGAAGACACCAAAAAGCTATGTGACAGTAGTACAAAGGGTTCTAACTGTGTTTCTGGAAAGGAAATGGGGACTGAGGTAGCAAGAGGAACACATGCCATTTTGGCCACCCTACAGCCTACACACTAACTCAACACAAAGCTAGATTCCTGAAACAAAGCGGGGGAAAAAGCAAGCATTCTCTCATTTCACTGCTCTCTGCTCCCTCCTGGAACACGTACTTGTAGGGCCAACCAATGCGTCAGTTCCCAGTTCTGACTCAGGTCGAAACCAGCTTCCCCAAAACAAACTCCCACACATGCTGGCTCTTCTGCTGGGATTAAGATGTGTTAGTGCCTCGGTTCAGAGTAGACCCATCTGTGTAACAAACACCTTTATATTTTTAACCTAGATGTAAGATGTGGAAGTAAAATCAAAATTTTCATACTGGTATCAGAGTATTAGACTCCCTGAACCTAAACACTTGCTTTCTTTAGAAAGGAAAGTACATAATTTGTCCAAATGAGTGCTGACATGGCTTTTAAACATGTTAGTTTTTTTATATTAACATTCTAAAACCTAAAAATAAAAAAGTGAGTATGCTTGGAGGAACTGGTTTGGCAGGACATATTAAAAAAAAATCAAAACAAAACAACTTTTTAGTGTCTGAAGCTCCAGATTATCAGGCACAAGAGAAAACAGCACAAGTGCAGACAGATTTTAAAAAATTCTACTTATATTTCTACTGGGCATAGTGAATCTGGTTAGATATGTCAACTTTCTCAAATTGTATTTATAAACCAGCAGCAGAGCATTACTTCTAAACCTTGGTACATCATGCACCATTTTTCATGAAGGACGAAAGTAAGCATTTGCCTTAAAATTTGTTAAGAGAAATTAAATTTGCTGTCCTAGTTCTCAAAAAATACACAAGCAATTTTATCTTTTCTAAAGAACTGTCCGCAAAGAAAAGCAGTGTTCCTGTTTTAAAGCTATGAAAGAGGAAAAGGAACTAGGAGACAGACTCAAGACACCATGACAATATTCAAGCTTCAATTGAGTGTTTATACTTCTCTATAATCAATCCAGATTGTTTCCTGCTAGTAAAATGCCACGAGCAACATTTACATAGTGAAAGCAACTAAACTGAAGTAACAGCATAAAAGTAGTCAAAGCAGAGAAAGGCATTATTGTGCTAAACTGCTTTTCTCCCTTGAAGACACCAGTAGTAAGTTCAGACATTTTACTGCCCAAAGCTATTTTCATCTTTGCAATTTTTAAACCAAGCATGACAGCACTTAAGAAATTTCCAATCCTCTGCACACATTTCTTAGTCATCAAAGGTTCCCTTCCTACTTGCACTCTTAATTTTTCCGAGGCAGTTAACCACCACTAACTATGGGTGGAGCTACATTTCAGCACGCTAGCTCTGGAAAGTTTAGAGAAGCGGTGAAAATGCTGGCAATGGTATTTACACACTTGCCAACACTAATTTTTTCCATCTCTAGCCTGATTATTGCTTTGTGCAGTTAAAGCTTGCTAGAAGTTTAAAGAGTGGTGTCTATCACCTACGGCAAACTTTTCAGCATTGGTCTACTGCAACCACAAAAGCCTGTAAATTAAGTATTAGATTTCAACTTAAAATTATTTTTTCTCTTTCATCAGGTAGTACTTACAGACTTCTAAGGAATGAGAGTAGAGATTGCTGGACTTAGTGGGAAACAGCCAGAGAACTACTGCTTCATTTTGCCTATGTTAAGAGACTGAGGTGAGTCCTTGCTGTGACATGGCATGCGGATGTACGGGGAGATTTTTGTATTGCCGAAGAAGAAACTCCTCCATGTATGAAACCACTAAAGATTTACCCAAGGCAAAGCTGAAGGTGAACAAGGAGGAATAAGGAGGGAAACAGCTGTGCCTGCTTGAAGCTGTACCAGGCATTAAGCAGAGAGCTGCCCCCTCCCCTGGCACTGGTTTGCACCACAGTGATGAGAACACAGGCAGCACTGCAGCTGCAGCCCTTCATATCATCTGCTTGGTCTAGCAGTTACAGCCTCCAGCATTTCTCCACTGAAATCCACACCTGCTGCACTGCACACACCACAGTGAATACAGACATGACAGAGACCGGGAAAAATAAACTGCAGATTTATACAAAGCCTGACAGGCAGATACCTGCACAAAACTGTCCTGGTTTCATGCATGAACAGAATTAACTCTGAGCTGAGGGTCTCTGGGTTTGCTGTGACACCAATATATTTTCTTTCAGGAAAGCACAGAGATGGACAATAATCACTGTGACTAAAGTAACCCAGAACTCATATCCCAGTAAAACAGATTTGGAAATGCCCACAGGTCACCCATCTGGCACCTTGTTTGCCCTTTTAAACAACTGTAAAGACTGCTGATGTCCCTTGAGAGCATAGACACCTGTCCCACTCTTTCATGAGTGCCTTTTCTGCTGACAAAGAGTCTGTCCCACTACTTTATCCCTGGCCATGGCACGGTGGCTGGAACTACATGACCTTCAGGACTCCTTTCAACCCGAACTATTCTTTGCTTTTCTCTTAAACAATTCAATTACTGACGATGGAGAAATGATACACTGGACTACTTCACAAAAGAAGAAAGTAAATTAACCAAGGAAAAGTCTTTCACACTCGGGAGGAGTTACAGCGTTTTCCTTGTGCCCCCACCTCCCATCACTGAGGCAGGTTTGGAGTAAACAGCACTCCTTAATGCACCTCTGTCTCCAGCCCAACACGCACACCAGGCACACGCCGCCGATGCGTCCCGCTCACCCATCAGCGCGTTTTAACAAACACCCTCCCTCCCGGCACGATCCAGCTTCCCGTCGGGGATGACAAAGCTGGGAACCCATCCCCAAAGCATAACCCGCTACAGGAACTGGTTATCAAGTGTGGAAACCAGCCGGCGTCTCCCATCTGTAACTCCTGCAGCACTCGCCAGATGGGAGAAGCCTCATTCTTCACCTGGCACCTGTACCTGCTCAAGGAAAGGGGCGGCCGGCAAAACCAACACTTTGCAGCACGGTGCCGGAATGCCGCCCCAGACAGACTCGGCACCGCCGCAAGCGATGCGACTTTGCAACCACACCGAAGGGCGGCACCCGGAACCACCGCGTGGCGCAGGAGTCGCGACACTCACGAGACGTAGGCGGGGTAGGCGAAGCCGATGATGTTGCAGAGCAGGGACGCGCCGTATCCCACCACCAGGTACACGGCCACGACCCCGAGAATACCTGAGGAGAGAGCAGAGAGCCGTCAGCGCCCGAGGGACCGCGGCGAGGAGGCGCGGGCGGGGCGCGGCCGCCCGCGGGGAGCTGGCGCGGCGGCGGCCGGGGCTCACCGGCGGCGATGTAGGTGCGGCTGACGCCGGTCTTGCTCTCGATCCGCTCGAGTACGGCGGTCATGCAGTTCTTCTCGTGTAGGAAGCGGTCGAAGCGCTGCCGCATGGCCGCGGTCATGGCGCCGCTGCCGCCGCCCGCTCCGCAGCCCCGCTGCCCAGCGCAGGCCCCGCCCCGGCACCCAGCGCCCGGCCCCGTGGCGCCGCGCCCGGGGGCGGAGGCGAGCGGCCGGGATCCATCTTCCGCGGCTGCGGCTCGCCGAGCCCTCCCCGGCGCGAAATGGAGGGCTGGGGGCGCGCCCCGGGCGCGGGGCGGGATGCGGCACCCGGTGGTCCCCGCGGCCTCCCGCCCTTCGTGCCCCGCTGGCAGAGATAGATCTTTAATCCCGGAGGGGGGCCAGGGGCTTAGATCCCTGCAAGGATGGTGCGCCTTGTTCAGGTATTCAAACAGACAAGAGCCCTGTGTCAGAGATGGGAAGGAGGAGGAGGCCACGCGCGTACCCGGCTCCAATTGCTTACAACTGCTAGAATGTACCCCCCACCCCCAAAATCAATGCGTGATACAACGCGGAACGGTGACCAAAAGTCAGAGACAGAGGGTAGGCATTGACGTGATGTAGAAGAAAGGTTATGACAATTTGCGGGTACCCAAAAGGCGCATGTGGCCACGCCGCGGGCAGCAACGGCTTGCTGTAACTGTACCCGGGAATTTATGGTGTGTGCAATGTTCTTGCCAACTAAATATAATTTGTTGGCTGTGATGTAGTCCTGGAAACTTCTTCGGCTGGGCTGACCCTTCCGAGCAACTCCTCTGCATTTGACTCAGCATTACAATCAGTGCTGGCACTCTTTATGCCCTCCTCAAATCTGTGTTGCTCCTGAGTGTGCCAGAAAATACTAATCAGTCTTCTTTTGCATAAGTGTTACCTCCACCTAAAAAAAAATTTAAATGTAAACATTGCATTGTGCTGTCAGCTGGGGGGGATACCATCTTGGAAATAATTCAAATTTAATTGCTGAAATACATTTTCTTCTTTCAAGTAACTGTCTTATTAAAGCAGAGGTGAGGAGAAGAGGGAGAATAATACTCAGTCTATAACCGTGGTCAAAATGTTCTATAATAGCAACTTTTTTTTTTTTTTTTTTTTTTAATACAAGGTTTCAGCTTTTTTTAAATGGAATAAAAAGATACAGTTACAAGTGATCTTTGGAGGTTATATAGTGCAATCTTCTGCTCAAAGTATGGCTAATGCTAAAGCTAGATTCTGATGCTCAGGATTTGGACACCTAGGGTCTGAAAATGTTAATGGATGAAAATTTCTGCAGCCTCCTTGGGCAGCCCTTCACTCTGCTTAACTGAAACTAAGAGATATTTTCCCTTCACATTTGAAATTGAAATGTCCTTTGATGTCACGTGTGACTGTTTCATCTTGTCCTTTGCCCTGATTTTTTATACTTCTGATGAGGTTCCAGTTCACTTTAACCTCCAAACAGAGAGCTGAAGGTAGCAATCGATGTCCCCACTTAACCTTCACTTCTGAAAAGTGAACAGTCCCAGATCCTTGACCCTCCTCCTATGCCATGTGTTCCAGCCCCTTCCGTATACCTTCTTTGTCTGCTGGATCCATCTGATATGCCTTGAGTTTTACAGACAATGGGGAGGACTGTTTGGACTGGAATTAGAGTATGAAAGGATATACTGATGTTTTCAAATTAGTAATTATTAGTAACAGTGCCAGATAGCCTTAAGAAATGGTCCTTTACAAGATCTGTGAGAGATTTAATTCTTGGCTTCAAGCAGAGCAAAATTCTACACCTTAACTTAAAATACAGCAATATTAAAAATGTTAGCAACTCAACTGATATTCCCTTTTTTGTCCAGTATATAGACGTTGTGTAGAAACTCCCTGCCTTTTAAGGACACTTGAATGTTCTAATGTGCCTATGGGTTAAAAGTGAAACAAGGCAAGCATCACCAAAGGTTGCAGAAAGCAAATCACTCTCATTTTACTTATGATTATGATGGGATGTGTAGAAGTACAGGATCTGCTAAATTCTAAATGAGCAGCTCTCAAACTGAAGATTTACAGACTTGGATCATAGTTTGTAGGAGTGCAAAAACCTTGTGGAAACTTATTTTGGTCTTTTGGGGTTTGTTTCTCTTGCATGCTCACTCTCTGCACTTAATATGGTCCTTCTAAAAATTTGGGATTTTTTCATCATACCTGTAAGACTGAAGGACTGAGGAGAAGAGCAGGTAAGACACAAAAGTATTATAGAAAAGAGAATTTAATAAAAACATTAAAACCAACTAAATTCTTACTGAGTTTTCATAACAACTCACTGTCTACTTTTTTGTTATTTTATTTAAAACTAAACTATAAACCATGGCATTAATAGCTCCCCCAGCTGATCTGTGCTAGACAAATGTTTCAGTGCACTACAGTGTGCTGTGTAAACACTTCATAGTAGTAAGGTGCATAACTGTTTTATTTAAGATACCTATGCTACAGGGTGAGAGAAAAGTGACTTTTTAGAAGAAAGAAACTGGAAAATCAAAGAGAAATAAAGGTATCATAGTGTACTAAAAAATACCAAGAGTCTTCCAGCACAATATGGAGAACATGCTGTACTGGGCAGTGGTCTTTCATGTTCCCACAAAATCCTGAAAATATGAATAAGAAAGGTATATTGTAACTTGAAAGATCTAGAGAGGAAAGTTAAAGGCAGAGTGTATGACCTGCTCAAGAAGCTTCTACAGGAGAGGAAGAAAACTAGAAAAATGTAGCAGAACTACCAAGAGGATAAGTGCCTTTCCACCTATAAAGATTTGGTGTCCTAAACACCAGAACCAAACCACAGGCAGCAGTAGCCCATTTGTCCAGGTTACTCAGCCACTATCAGTAGGTTACCATGAAGTACCAGAACTGACACCTAAACTCACAGGCTGCAGGACAGACCTGGGCTGGGAGAATTGTGCACCACATGCAGAATGGCAGATTGCCTAGCCTACCTGCTGAGGGCTGTACTATGAAACAAACTAACAGAAAACAGTATATTACAGGGTTATGTCCTTTTCATGATATTCCATTCTTCATTTTCCCTTTTTGTGTACTAATTTTTTTGCTACCTTATTTTTTCCCAGTTAGTACAAATCCTTATCTTTACTTTTTCTCTTTGATGTTTTAAGCTATTTAATCTGATTTTAGGATCAGACTGGTCTAGTCACTAGATAAGATCTCTTCTTTAACTGTCTTCAACACTCTTCAACTCTCTTTTCACCCTGAGCTGAAGCAGTATTCCACTGTTATAATCAACCCAGAGTTAAAGGTCAGCTCATGGCTTTAGCACAGGTGTGTATTTCATGGACTCACAGAATGGTTTGGGTTGGAAGGGACCCTAAAGCTCATCTCATTCTGGCCCACCTGCCACAGGCAGGGACACCTCCCATTAGACGAGGTTGTTCAGAGCCCTGTCCAACCTGGCCTTGAACACTTCCAGGGAGGGGTCAGCCACAACTTCTCTGAGCAACCTCTGCCAGGACCCCACCATTCTCAGAGTTACGAGTTTTTTCACAATAGCTAATCTAAACCTACTGTCTTTGTTTAAAACCATTCCTCCTTGTCCTGTCATTACATGCCTTTGCAGTGTCTTTCCCCATCTTTCTTGTAGGCTCCCTTTAGGTTCAAGAAGGTGCTATAAGCTTTCCCTGGAACCTTCTCTCCTCCAAGCTGAACAACCCCATCTCTCTCAGTCTGTCTCCCCAGGAAAGGTGCTCCAGCCCCCTAATCATCTCTGTGGTCCTCTGGACTCACTCCAGCAGGTCCTTGTCCTACTGATACCAGGCCCCAGAGCTGGATTTCCTCCAACAGTCTGCTTGACTTGGAGTTTGAATGGATGATCACATCCCAGGGAATGTTGTGTTACTTGGACCATCTGGTTAAGCCTGTTTGAGATCAGTGTTGCCTAAACGAGCCCTGCTGTCTTGACCTGTAGCATGCCATGTCATGTATGTAAAACAATGCAGATGTTATTGCCATTAAATTAATGATTACCTGCAAAGTCTTAGACTACAAATTATTTGATCTGATCATGAAAGCACTGTAATATCAGGAAAAGCCCAGTATAGAATTTTCTGAACAGGCTCATCACAGCTCTCTATACATAAAGTAACCAAATGATTGCTTGCTTACCTTTTTATGTGTGCTTCCTTTCTCCTCTGCAAGGTTCTGAGAACCCCTCCAAGGTTTAGGTACCATTATTCATCCAAGTCTGCTAATTAGTGCATCTTATTAGATATCATAATGTCTTGTGCTTCACCACAAGCGTGGTCCTTTCTATGGTGCTTCTCACTTAATAAAAACCCTTCCAAATTATTTTCAGATATTTATGGTTCTTTTTCCTTTACAATCAGGAAACTGAGATGAACACAGATTTAAGCCTAAATTTTCATTAACTTTTGTGTGGGTGATTTGCTTTTCCTAAAACTTGCTTCAATATATTTTAAGTGTTTCTGTTTCTCCACATGGGTTATATGGGACTGCTTCTATAGTATATCACTGTATATCACTGGTCTGTGCCAGCTATTCACTCACCTTTTACCATGTAATAAATGGAGCAAAGAAGGGGAGTAGTGCTTGCATTGTCTCCTTGCATACAAATTTGACCCAAAATACCAGCTTGTAGCAACTGAGGGTGTCGAGCTCATACTGCTTACAGAAGGTATTGCTTTTCCATCCACTTACCTCCCACCTCCACATTTTGTTGGAGATTTTAGTATAGAATCTGTTTATTGAAAGGCTGAGTGGAATTAATGCCTGATTACTTAGGCAAGCTGAAGTCTGCAGTCTTGATTGTAGACTCTCAAGTTTCTGCCTCGATCTTTATTCTAATTCACATAAACGACAAATAAATGTTTATTGAGTTCTGGACTTGGCTGGTGCTTTGGCTGAGAGTGTCTTCTATCCAATGCAATTCTCACTTTGGTGAGATTCTCCAAGCAAAACTTTATCCACTTTCAGCTCTTGCTTGTCCGGTGCAATCCAGCTCCTTTTCTGAGATCCCTTTCTGAATGTGCAAATGGCTGGCCCATTTTATTTTCTGCCATCTTCTCTCGTTGCGCAGTTCAAAGAGACAACAACATTATTTTCCAAATATCTTATTGCTATCTTTA